ATTTTCTTGAGAAGCACGCGGTCATCAGCAGCAAGCCAGCTACCATAAGAAGGAATCGTATTGTTAAGAGTAGGCAATCATCTTTTCTGTTGTGTATTCTTCCCAAGTACTGCAGTCACTGCATTACTCCCAAGTGCTCACTTCCTGTTTGCAAATCAAGCAGAACTGCATTCTCAAGTCTAGTTTGATTTTTGTGTGTTGCAGACCTGAGACATGAAACATCATGAGTTATCAACTAACTTGGATTTCCCATAACAAAATAGGCTCCCAAGGGGAATGACTTGCCCTTCCCTGATCCTGCACATTCAAGTTCCTTTAGCTGTCAATATGAGTCTTGAAAAAAAAATGCTTTACAAAGCATTCTTTTACCAACTTAGTGGTAGATGCAGAAACACTAAAAGGGCTTATCCAAATGATGCTTAGACTGATATTTTATAAAACCCAGGTTTGTGTCTGGCATAGGCCTAGAACATACACCCAAGTTTAAGTCTGCTGCTGTGGTCTGAGGGTTCACAATGTTCAGATAAGTTTCCTGACTTTTGGCAGTAGAAAGATGATCATTTACTCTGTTAGCATTGGTAAATACAAATTAACTGGTATATTCCCCAGATCATTCTCAGGTCAAGAGAAAAGACCTCTATTATGGATGGCTGCTTTTACCAGCTACTGGCATATTGCTGAAAAGTACTTAGTCATTTATTGTTAGTATACAATAGCTTGACTTAAAGAGCAGCTAAAAACCAATTTTGTTAAACATACCTTGCACCCATGGCAAATGTCAAAATAGTATTTGCCAATCTAATCACATACACTGGTACATTCTGTGTTTCAGGTGGTCAGTGAAGGCATTCATCCCTTTCAGATCTGGGACTAGAACATAAGCTTCCTTCCTCTTTTGACACAAGCAGTTGAATAAAAGCAGTTTGTCTTGCATGGAAGGTTTTTGGTGTTGGGGGTTTTTTGTTGGGTTTTGGGGGGGGGGGGATGTTGTTGTTTGTGTTTTTTTTAAAAGATTACTCCAAGGGTGTGATAAAAAGTAATTCCTTAAGCAGCAGCCCTCTGCAAGACAGTTCATGGAAGAGGAATGGGCTGGGGTGTGCAATATGGAATTGGATGAAGTATCCTGCTACAACTATAATCCAGCAGTCCAGTAATGGAGGTAGGTCAACTTCCAAAAGAAAAGGTCTACAAAAAGTGAATCTATTGAACAGCTAACATTTTGAAATAAGAAAGTAACCAATACAGCATGCCAATAAATATTACAGTGAAACTTCAGGAATGAATACTCAGACTAACCAATACAGCTCATGAAGTCTCCTTTGTAGCAAGGACAATAAGGATGTCGATCTCACCCACAATTCTCAGCAAATCTCATCTTTTATTTCGTCCTCCTACAGGAGGATCAATTTGCCTCAAGAACAATGACTAAAATTTCAGTCTTGCTCACGCCTACTGCAACCTAAAAGTTATGAAAGAAGCCACAGTTGGGGTGTCTACTCATGATGGTCATCAAGTCTCAAAGCCATTGAGAAAAGCAGTTTTTAGAGTACTTCTCTATGCTAAAACTGTCCTCAGCTAAATTAGCTATCAGCTTTCCAATTAATAAGGCAAAGAACTAAAGTAATTAAGTATGGCTAGAAACAGAAGTGAAACAGAGCTGAAGAACTATGTCCAAACTTTGCAATCACTTGTGTCCATATTCCAGTGTCTCCTCCTACTTCCTGTTATTCCCTGTTCTAATCAATAGCTTTTATTTTCCACTCAACTCATTCTTCAGTCCCAATTAGCATCTCACTTTTACTCTGTAAGACAGTATAGATTCTTCATTTTTCCCTTATATAATCACATCAGGGAATAAATTACTTCAGAGGAGTTACTGGAGTCCCTCTATCTCTTTGCACTGGACAAACCAAGTTTCAAAGATTAGAAGGGATTAGCTGGCATAACCTATGTGTTAGTCCAACTCCTAACAGGATCTAGTCCACAGCCAATGGGAATATAACAGGATAGTGGATAAAGCTTTAAAAGACTACAAAACCCCAAATTATTCTTCCTTAACTCTTGGCACATGAAATTCATACATGATACATACTTTAGAATTATATCTGAGTATTAGAGGCCAGTACTCTGCACTAATTTGTCTAAAAGCTTCCCACTACAAAAATCCACTTGCTTCAAAGCTAGGCAGTCACACTGCCATAAGTAATAAATTATTTAAATTCATCCTTTTAAATGCAAACTGAGCAAGCTCTATAACAATCTAAAAACTCCAGAATACTTAACAATACTTCAGAAACTTACAGTCTGCTGTCAGGCCACATGAGTCTCCCCTGTCAGCTAATATAATTAAACATTTTAAAAAAATGAATTAATGGAGAAAGATCAGTCATTGCTCCAAGTAGTTTGACTGAATGCCACACTATTCAAGAAGTGACCCAAAAACATAAAGCAAGACAATGAAGGATGGAAGACAGACAGTAAGATAATATTTATGTCTTCTCATAGATGTGAAGAGGAAGATTTTTTTTTTTCTTTTTTGGGACAACCCATTTGTTTCTTTTAAGGTATTCGTGTTTACTCACTTCTTCTAAACTCCTCTGAGAGGAAAGAAATGGACCCTTCCAAAAGAATACAGAAATACAGATAGATAACTGCTTTTACTTACATAACTGGATCAAACATATTGCGAATCTTTAGACATGGTGTCAAGCTGTTTGGTGGTGAATTTCTTCTATCTAGATGAAATGCTACAAAGAAAAAAATTGATAGTATTTATTTTGACAGGCATAATACCGTCCAGTTAACAAGTGTCAACATTATACATTAATAATGTACAATGTAATAATGTAATTAATGGGTTTACTCAAAAAGAATACTTTTCTTCATATATGAAAAAGCTTCAAGCAAATTGAGTTCCCCACGGTTTTCTACTGCACTGAAGAAAATGTACCGTACTTAACTGAATTTTTTAGACTTACAATTTCTACACTTCAAAAGATAATGCACTCTCTTACATCCAGGCCACAGTACATGGAAGCAATTCAGGATATCTTAAAAAATACCATATAGCTGAAGAGAAAGTATTTGCATTACATCTCCATGAAAAGACAGATATTCTTAACATCTGGAGCAAATTTTTGGAGCTGCAGGTTAACCATTCAGTTTTAACCACCTGATGAATTTTCATTTCTTCCACTTTTGGGGCAGTTTACTGCCCATCTGACTAAGAAATAGGGAGACACTTAGATGGATGTTGTATTGCATCTGTATTGCAGTAACAACTGTCAAGGAGCACTCTACAAGGACGGAGCTTTTGTAACCTTAAATGCTCTACGCACATGATCAGAAGCTTGCAAAAATCTGAAATGAAACACACCAGAGGATAAAACAGATTCAAGAAGAAAAATGGAAACGAAAAATAACAGAGTAACTCTTTCAAAGCTGAATAATCCCATGAAATACATTCTGAAGTTCTAAAATAAATATTAACTTCTCTGAAGTTCACAAGTCCTACTTGTGGGAGTCGCAACAGAAGACTGTACCATAAGAAAAGGAATAAAGAAGCCCTTCAGATTCAGATACGGTAGTTCCATGCCTTGAGAAGGGCCAATAAAGCAGCAACAGAAATGGAAAGGGATAACGTGGTAAAACAACTTCCAAGGCTTGAGGGAAGTTTTACTTTGAAGACTTAAGATGAGTAGATTCAAGAGTTTAAACATGAGATTAAAGATCTCAACAAGACAAAATGATGATCCAAACTGATGCTAATGCTTCTCCTTTGCAATCCCTACTTTGGAAAAGTTTGACAGATTCAAGATGTTTTGTTCCAAGCGTTAGAAGTCTCAGTTTTGGGCAGATGACACTACAGGTCTGTGCTTCTTACTGCTGATCTTTTAAAATAACATCTTGCAAGTATATCCAAAAATACCTGAACACTTCTGCTCTTTCTGTAAGTCACCAAAACAAAAACCATGTCACATAGAAGAAATTCAGTCATGTGGAAGACACTGCATGTGAAAGACGAGCACTAACCAAGGGAAAACTCACTGCCTGCAGATATGGCATAGACAAACTTGCTCCTTATGTAAATTTCTGAGGAAAAAAAATACAATTACCAACCAGAAGTTAGAAAAGGTGACCTCCAAATGGAACCCACCAAAGTTTCCCAAATAACTAAAAATGTTGTTCTTAGAATATACACACATACAGTCCAAGTCACCAACACCTGTAATAATCATCTGTTTTATCTTGGGAATAGCTTTCTAAATATGCTGGTGACACTGCATCTATTTCTGAGCTGTCTATAGTTTAAGGACAAGTCCTTTTTCAATAGCACATGGTTTTGTAAAGTTTTTTGCCCTTGATTAAAAGTTATACACAGGGTATATAATAAAAACTTTACAGAACTAAGCAACATTGAAAAATAAACGGACTTACCTTACTCATGTAGGTTGGCTCCAACCATCCAGATCAAGGAGGGGTGAAATGTCACCAGCATATTGTACACTGGGGCACCATACCATACTGGAGAAGGTTATCTGGGGTAGCCTAGTCATGGACCTGGACCTGAAAAGGTGTGGGGTTGAGGAAATTATGTGCTGATTGTTAATAGCTAGGTTTATTCAGCACATGGTTCTAATCCAAGGATAAAGAATGGTGAGGTTATTTGCACAGACCTTAGGCCCAAAGGATCAACATTTCTGCAAGCTGCTTATGAACTCCAAAAAACCCATACTATTCTTTAAGGCAGCAGCTACAACTTTGAGCTATGCAGAAGTAACTAAATGGGGAATTCACACTTTAGTGTAGATACCTATAAAAACCAAGCTTTGCCTGCTCCAATTTCTAATAATCTTGATGTCCTTTTGAATGGAAGATTTCAGGTGCTTGCAGAGATGACTTCAGCCAGAGCACATTACCAGCACAAAACTAACCTGCTACCAACTTAATGTAACATCATACTAGTAGAGCAAATGTGCCCAGGGCAGTGCAGCATATGAAAATAAAGATGAATTCTGCTTCTTTCTCAAAAATGTTTCCAAGTCATGGTAAATTAAAAGAAAGTTTTGCAACTTAGATAGAGTTTTTTATGTATAAGAAAAAGGCCACAGAAATCAGTGAAGTACAAAATTAATGCTAGCATAGTAACAGGCGTTAAAATGTATACCAGAAATGGGACCAAAAGTGGAGGCTAGAGAAGACACAGGCAAATTAAAAATCACACTGTACCTACACAGCAAAATTTAAAATAGTGTAGTTAACAGATGTCTCTTGGAACTTCATTACACACCTATAACAATTAATTCTCTCCGTTTTGCCAAAAGAGCAAGTTTAAGTGACAAACCTATTCAGATTACAGTACTGATTATTTGAAAATTTACACTGGTGTGGAACACAGAAAATATTCTCCTCACAATAAGGGCATAAGCAGATATTCTTGCAGGCCAACAGTCTAAGCTACACCATAACTAAGCACCTCACATGCCACTTTTCCTAAATAGGTCTGAACAGTAAGACATAGAAAACGAGGGGGAAAAGTGGAGATGAAATAGGAAAGCAGAAGGACAAGGTTGCACAGTAAGCCACTGAAAACAACATTCTTAGGACTTTCATTATTCCCCTTGAGGAACAATGAGCACCTTCAAGAAAAAGAAGCCACTTTGTCTTCCAATCATAGAATCGTTTAGGTTGGAAAAGACCTTTAAGATCATGATGTACTTTGTTTTATTACCTTAAACTGAATATGATTGTATCATTCCAGATTCAAAGAACAGCAGTAGCTAAAAGCGTGTGCTTTCAACAACATCTTTATCACTGTGACTGGAATACTTCTATGATGGAAGAAGTGGCTCTTGCACAGACTTCAAAATGAACATCTAAGAAATTATAGCACAGCTTTCTGTACTTCTTGAATTACTACTGTATTATTGCTAAAGGGATTCCCCAGTATCACCACCATGGGTTATAAGACAGCCCAACAGATCTTTAGATGTGGATTTGATGCACCTGGTAAGGTTGAAGACTTGCATCAACTATAGGTAACCATGTTTCTGAAGAACAGATTTATTGATGTTAAGCCACAGATCACTGTACTTTATTAAGTACTAACCCTTCTTACCAAAGCCAAGAATAAAAAGATAAAACATTTAGTTGAAAATGTTGAAGTTATGCACTTTCACACAACAGGAGGTTCTTGAGTAAACAGGAAAGAAACAGAAATCAAAATACTACTAAATGTTATTAAGAGAGTATGGTTCACTTGGGGTTTAATACAGTTAAGTTCAGCTATACAAGACCAGCATGGGATGGATACAGCATTTTACAACAAGCATAAAATCTACAGTTCTCTTACAATAGTTAAGAATAGAGCTTTTGGGGTTTTTGGGGGGCTTTTTTGTTTGTTTGTTTTGTTGTTGTGTTTTGGTTTTTTGTTGTGGTTTGGTTGGGGGGGGGGGGGGGTGTTTTTAGAAAGGATTATATTCTCACAAGCTGGGGAGGAGGCGTGTCATTCACACAAGGTAACAGGTTATCTTCCATGCTGCAGGATGAAATATCACCCTAGATGTGGTACTTCAGAGAACCTCTTTATCTCATCTCCAGAGCTGTCAAGGAACTTTAGCTATTGCTGTTAGCTTAGCTACACTGGAGCTCTGCCTACCTATTTTTCTTTAGAGCTCCAGTTATCAAAGGCATGATAGGACAATACTATCTATTCTTTCAAAAGCAAACTGAACACACTAGAAATACATTTTTTCCCCCCACTGATTTTATTAGACTTGCACATGATCAAGATTGTTTTTCAATTGACAATTCTCTTTTCAACCATTTTCACAACATCACTCATATTTGTCCATCATCCTACAACGAGCTTACCCACCCATTCTTTTTTTCTGTTTTTGACAGATACATCTACTGTTTCCAGTAGATAATATTTCAAAGGAAGTACACCAGACTTTATTCTGACCCAGTTAAAAAAAAAAAATCCCAAACTGTCTGTCAAAACACAGGCTGCATCCTGAAGGACTGGACAAAATGCCACAGTGATGCTTGAAATCTAGATGCTAACAGACAATAGAGCCTAGATCTTCATGCATGCTACAAGTCCCATACTTAAAATGCACGCTATCATCTACCAATATCCTAGTACACACTGACAGGTCAAGAGGTTTTCTTCTTCAGTTGCACATACTCTAGGTATTGTGCTCTGCTACAGAGTGCTACCAGATGTCAGAAGGTTAAAAAAATTGTGACTTTGAAATTTATTCACAAGATTCAAAACCAAGAATTTATTCTGATTTTATATGTACTGAGTTTGTTCAGGACCATCCTGGTTTTGGCTGGGATAGAGTTAATTTTCTTCCTAGTAGCAGGCATAGTGCTGTGTTTTGGATTTAGTAGGAGAAGAATGCTGGTAACATGCTGATGTTTTTAGTTGTTGCTGAGTACTGCTTATGCTAGTCAAGGACTTTTCAGCTTCCCATGCTCTGCCAGGTACACAAGAAACTGGGAGGGGGCACAGCCAGAATAGTTGATCCAAACTGACCCAAGGGCTATTCCATACCATATGACGTCATGCTCAGCATATAAACTGGGAGGGGTTGGCTGGGGAGCAGCAATCGGTCGGGAGCTGTCTGGGTATTGGTCAGCGGGTGGTGAGCAATTGCATTGTGCATCGCTTGCTTTGTATATTGTTATTATTATCATTACTATATTGTTATTATCATTACTATTTTACTTTATTTCAACTATTAAACTGTTCTTCTCTCAACCCAGGAGTGTTTCTCTCTCTTACTCCTCCGATTCTCTCCCCCATCCCATCGGGGTAGGGGGAGTGAGCAAGCAGCTGCGTGGTGCTTAGTTGCTGGCTGGGGCTAAACCACGACAAGGACCTAGCAGTCTTGAAGGCTTTTTAGATTTATGAACTTCTGTATTCAAACATCAAAACTGGAGGACGAACTTAATTCCAGTTGATTTATACTTCCAAAAATGAAGAAACCGACACATACATATAGAATTCCTAACATCAGGAAAGAAACAGCTGCGCAAAAAGTATGAGACTTATGTAATGGAACTATTTCCAACAGTCATGAAAACAAGGAACACAAAATAGGAAGAGCCTTTGCATGTGAAAATTGCCTTTGCCTGCTGACTACCAAGATATACAGAGCCCAAATGACATATGTCATTTCAGCCACCCTTATTTTCCATGCCCTTCTGTTAGAGCCAAAGTATGCAATTTCAATTCTTCAAAGATGTTTGTTGAACTACAAAGGTAACAAGAAAACTAGGAAAATTGCTATTGAAAGAACTGAAATAGAATAGATCTTAATATATCCTATTCAATAAAAAGCAGAGTCTTAAGTACATACTCTAGGCAACATACAGCTAAAAGCCAAGGCTGAGAAAAAGTTATTCTGTTCACATTCACAATATGCTAAAATAGGTATCAGATGCTCAAATTCAGATGATACCTAACAGTTGCCACTACAGTAGCTGTCTTTCTAGGAAGTTTTGGAAACTACTGTTCTGTTGAGAGTTTTGAATGTATATTCCATGTAGCAAAGCAGCACCTGAGCTATCACACACTGAGAAGTCTTCCAGATGAAGGAAAACCCAGTCCAATTTCTAATACAGGACAGAATGTTACGGAGCAATTTATACTGCAATCAAACAGGACAAGAAAAACTGAGAGCAAATGAGTAGTAAGTGAGAAATTCCAGAACTGGAGTGTCATGTTTCACAGCCTGTATTGAACAATAAACTATATAGAAGATTCAGCTTTATAATATACATAAATTGAACGTAGCTTCTGCAAGCTAAGTGTTTGAAAATTGATCATGACAGTATTACAGAGATGGAACAGAGACAGCTGTTGACAAAACCCACCGTTTTTGCACTGCACCTAAAGCACCTGCACATCCCTAATGGACAATATCCTAGAAAAAGGCTCTGCAACTCTCGTAATAAAGTTGCTATTCACATCTTACTAACTAAGATTTTGAGAAACTGAAATCATATAATACAGACGTCACAGCAGATGCCATGTTACTACTACTACTGCAAGACAATGACTGCAGAACCTCAAGCCTGTAGTAGTATTCACAAGGTGTTTTAAAAAAAAAAAAAAAAAAAACCAACACCCACACCCAAACAGCCCTCACTTCCAATGAATGATTTAAAATGAGAAAAGTAATACTAAAGACAGTAGTACTTTGAGAAGTACATAGTGATATCCCAACGTAACATTTTGCATAGACAAGCAAGAAATGGGTCCCAAGACTACTAAGACCCTCATCAGATAACATGCCAAGTATCTGCAAACATCTCAAAATATTTGGCTTTTCAAGCTGTCAGAGAGAATTGCTCATTTCTGCTTTGAACTCACAGAAAAGCAAAACTTAAGATGCAAGAGCTGAAAGCATACATAGAACTTACGAAAACATGCAAATGGCCTGGGACAAAACCACAATGTTAACAGTACTTTTACTCAGGCGATCAAGGTTGCTGCAGCATAAATGCTCCAGACCACAAAGAAGCTCGCTCTGTCTTTGGAAAGGAAATAATCACATTGGAAGGAGCTACTTTTAACTGTACCCTCTTTTATAGGAAAAAATAAAAACGTTTCTTACAAATAAAAATGTATACCAGTAAAAAGCAAAAGAAGGAAGCCTATTACTACTTAGTTTAACTAAAGCAAGACCAAAATTAGCATACTCCAGAAGAACACAGTGAGAGTGAAGTTACTTGCCAGTAAGAATTTTTATTTTGTTAAGTGGGACTGGGAAGGGCAGAAAGTCTGGTTTTTAACTAGGCTTTTTTCAGCATCTTGTTCAATGCCATAGAAGCAATGCACAATACAACCTCGATAACATCCAGTTTAAAAAGTTGAACTAAAAACTGGAGAAGCAACCACTCCCTTGTCCCTAACCATCAAAATAAGCCGATGAGTTTATAAGATAGGATTCTACACAGCGTTTATTTCAGTCCCACTGGAGAGATAATACAGCATTACAGAAGAACATATGGCAAGACAGACTCTTTAAGAGAGTCACAACATTTAAACAATGGACAATTAAGATTTCACTTTAAACATTTACCTTCACACTGATAGAAATGACCATTCTTTTTTATTGCAACCCAGAATTTTTCATTGACCAAAGAAAAAAAAAAACCCACCCCAAAACCTGAAGCTTAACATGAAGAAAGGCAGAAAGAAAAAGAACTAGGAAAAGATGACCACCGCAGACAGACAACTGCAAACCCACTGGATTCTTGCCACTTGGTTCCATAATAAAGCTGAAAAGTGACAGACCACTGCAAAATCCATGTATGACAACAGCCTCCTCTATTAAAGTGAATGCTTTGCTGCACCACAGAGCTTGAAATACAAATGCAGTGTAGAAAAACATTTGACAAAAAGGAAGCACTACTAGGAGATGCTCAAAATCCATGTTCTGCTGATTGAAGAGTCTTTTGTCCCAGCAGTTTCCCTTTCAAAGTAAAAAAAAAAAATCTCTTCCCCCAAACTCTGTCTTTAGGTACCAACTGATAACTTAACAGTAGGAAGCTCAAGTCTACAAGCTCCGATCTACCTGCTCTCAGATACAACCAATTGCATTATTTCCAGCCAGTATAAGGCATGTCAGAATTTGACCAACTAAACAGTATTTTCTTAAAAATTCATGAAAAGGCACAAGCAACTAATTCTGGCTACATGCCCTCTCTTGTATTTCTGCAGTAGCTATAACAGAAAAGCTCATTTTGCTTGAAAACAAGGCAGACAGAAAAGTAAGCCTACTGAACAAGATAATAGAGAAATAGCACTGGCAGTTCATAATAATACTTAAAGGTGTGAGGGAAAACAAGAAGTCTTTCATGTTCAAGCAACAAAATACCATTTAGAAGTTAGATGCAGAAGTTAGAACAATATATTTGCAAAATATAACTAAACTTCAATACCTTGGCCTTGCCACACTTTCGATGGTATTACTAAAATTTTGTCACATGCTGCGGAAGGTTGCATCCATTTCCAAACCAAGAACTCAGCACCACCTATTCTTCGTGTCTCTGTGCGAACTCTAGATTCGTTTGCTGCAAGAAAGTCAACTGCTCTATTCCAGACTTTCCTCATTTTCCTCCTTAAAAATTGAAGCAAGAATTACAAAGTTAGCATTATAACAACCTGCATAGATGACATCCAGCATGTAGGAGAAATTCCAATGTTTTTCCCCCACCTGTGTCAGTAAGAACCTCCAAAATATTACACTATGCAACCTACTGAAATTAATTTGGTTAATTGACCAATTTATTTTTTACTACTTTTCCTTACTTACACATATGGAAATTCAGTACTTCTAGTGAGAACATACCTGTCCTGAGGTGGTATTAGAGAATCACGCACGTGCAAGATAGGCATGTAAGGCTGCAAGTCTTTATTTTCAGAACAAGCCTCACTGTGACTTCTTAGGACATCTGAGGACACCATAAGAAAAACTGATAACTATGTAGTTCATGCAAACGTTAAGAAAAATATAAATTCTGGCAATGAACAACTACTCTGAAGACCCCTCCCAATTTCAGTAGTTAAAAGTTAAGGTGGTTTTGGCATTTTGAAGCCTTTTTACTCCTAAGCATGCTGAAGGCAAATGAAGAAAACTATCTACACACAGTGTCTCCAAGTACCCCAAATAACTTTGGAATAAAGGAAAACAGTTCTTGCAGTTACTCTTGATTGGTAATTTTAACTGCTAGCAAAGACAGCCACCTTTGAAAATAAAGTGCTTTCCCCCCACCCCAACAAAACTTGATTTGCAAACAAAAAATAGGAAAATGGTAAAAACAGGAAAATCCCATTTATCTACCATCTCTGTATTTATGATGATTGCCACAGGTGACAGTAATAAGACAATTTAAGTAAAAATGCAGTCCAAAACAGAACTTAAAAACTACAAACACAAACTACTGAAAACATTGTGGCTTCAAGTAGAAAGGCAGAATTTCAGAACTCAATTATGCATTCTATTTTAGTAACATAATTTCTGCTCAAAGTGGCTAATTAAAAAGCTGCTTTTTTCTATGAAAAGCCATTAAGGATGGAATTGAGAGCTAACACACATCTTAGGAGTGGATATTTTAGTTAAAAGATAGCTGAAACACCACATACAGAAAGTAACATATCACCATACTTCTAGCCAAACATCACATTTATATTTGTTTCCAATAGTAAGATAAAATACCACCAAGTCGATAGGAATTCATTATAGCCATGTTGATGTAATTTACAAATTACAATCTTTAAACCTAATCAAAGGTTTTGGTATAAAGAATGATTTTATTAAAAAAGAAAAAAGAGAACACATATGAACCACACATTTGACCAAGAACTCTTAGCAGCATGACTGACAACTACACAGGTAGAGAACATAACTGAGTTAATGCCAGTACTTTGAAAGCTTATACAGAGCTGATACAGATACATCAGATGTGATTCAAGAAGCCATACCTATGATTTTTACCACCATATCATACATCTGCCTCGTCTCTTCTTCCTCTTTTGCCCAACGGTATTTCATGTAGTGCAAGACTCCCCAAACCGTTGCTATACCTGCATTAAGATGTATAATACTCTTTAAACAGTATTCGAACGCTGGTTAGTTAACAAAGTTTACAGCACATACTTCAGGATTTGGTTGAACTAGCTAACATTTTGAAATACTTTGAAATTTCAAAGCTAGTGAAATACACTGTACACACTATCAATATTTTATATTTTACTAACACAGCAACATGAACTCTTAACCTTTGAAGAGCAGTTACCTTTCGAAAAGCATTTCATTGTTTTAACAATAGCCTGGTATCCCACAACTGTGGTTTGAAATTTTACCCATTTGTGAAGAAAAATAGTAAAACAATTATATTGGAAAAATTCAAAGTCACATAAACTGACAATGCAGAACATGCTAAGATTTAAAAAAGTGCAATATTTACTCATTCATAGACAAGTCACATGCTTTAGATATACCAGACTAATTAACTTGGACTGCTTCAGGTCAGCTACAGATTTGTATTTCTTGCAACAAAGTAGTGCATGCTTTTTTTTATTACTTTAAAGATTATTCCCAAAAAGGACAATCTAGTTAGGAAGGCCAGCAGCATAAGCTGGAAATACAAGTTGTCTTCTATCTTGGGCTGAGGGGACCGCTACACCCATGATCTCTTAACAACAAAAAGGAAATCAACAACAAAAACACACATCCACAAATTATAGTTACATAATTTGTTTCATATACTAGTTATCGCAAGACAATGTTAACTGATACATCAAAGAGACTGAGGGACACTAACACCCATTTTCGCCTAAAATAGTTAATGACAATACATCTAACATTCATACAGTGCTTTATTTTTGAAAAGCTGCTTCATATTAACCTTAATTACAGACGAGAAAGTTGAGACATGGTGCAATTTGTTCAGCATGACTGATGAGACTAGTAGTTGACTTGGATACTAAGTTTCATCTCCACATCCCAATTCAACCCTCATGTGGACTATTATCAGAAAGATGGCAATCTGGGACAGTTTGCCTTTAATTCTTTTGGTTCCTCAAAACACTAGTGAAGGAAGTCTGAAGTCCTCTGCTCATAAGCATGACATTGTTCAGATAGGTGCACAAGATGAACTCTGCATCTTCAATATTTCTAACCAGCCACACGGACAGGAGTGAAGGGTCCGCACTCAGCTGTACTGTATTTTTATGCTGCATAGCTTTCAGTATGTTAAGAATTAGATAAACTTCAAATAATTTAAAACTTAACTAGAGAACTATCAAAGACTAAATGAATTAGTCTTACTGAAGGATTAGACACATTTTTACAACATAGTCTTAGAGATAAGAATTTTTGGTGACAGCCACGTTGGGTATCCAACTTTTCCTAAAACTAGGAAAATCATCTTTTCTGTAGTTATGTTTCCAAAGTTCCTAGAACAACAGTGAAATATCCTCAAAAGTAAGGCTATCATGTATTTTTACTGAGTATTTTGCTTTTTCAAATCAGTTCAACCTGGAATTTTTGAAAGCCACAAGGTATTGCTTTGGCAGGGAAAAAGACAAGAGTTCCCAAAGAATGAATATGTTCAGCTGACTACAGCAGCAGATGATAGCAAGTAATGTGAAAATACAGTGGTGCAACAGAATGGCAAAGCAAACTGCATTGTAATCAAGATACTGATAGGAACTCCAAGTTTTATGGTTGAATAAAAACTTTCTCTAAACATGCTGTTTACTGCTCCCCGTGCCCTTACGTAACACGAGTTATAATAAAAAAAAAAAAACACACAAACTTTTTTGTTAACTTACCCAAAAGCAATATTGATAATCTGTGAGTTACATTAACAAATGCACGGCGAAAACGACACCTGAAAGACATCTTTGGACTAGTGGATTCCAGATACTTGACATCTGTCACATGAGTGACATCCATCTCATTAGGGTCATTGCTGAGACACCTATTCAAAAACATACAGTATTTATGAAAAAGGATACATTCTGTTAGAAGAAATTAAGTTAAGAAATAAAGACCACTTACTTTATGCCAACATCCTCCCCACTGTTCAAGATCCATTGTAATGCTGTGTTAAGTACACTTTCATATTCTGGATCTAGATTCTGTCAAAAGACAAATATTAATGAGTAATTTTGTAAATAACCAGAAAGTTATCATGCCACAATAAAATTCAGATACTGCACACATTAGTAGCAAAACTATGTGATTTTGTTCTTGATTCTTCAGATTTTGCATGAGTGTTCACTACACGAAGTAAATCTATACATGCTATGAGCAGCTATCAGACTTACTAGCATTCCTCAAATTAAGGACTGTTTGAAAAGTCAAGCCACATTCCCTGTTTTATTAACAATTCTAACCTAGAGCAAGAAAAAATTATTCAGCCACTAGGCGGTGCTCATTGAAAATCTACTTCAGGAGTAAAATTCAAACTAGATATAAACTCAGTTGAAAATGGATCCTATAAAAGCAGTTCAGGTTTGGTTTTGGGTTTTGTTTTGTTTTTTTAAAAGAGGCTTGAGGAAAATAAATTTTAACAGATATTTTGCAAATAGTCCAGTGTTTGTAGTTCAAGAACTGATTTCACTCTAGAAATTGACTTTTTTTTTTATAATTAGTTGGCATCAACTATCATAGGAGAACATTCACTGCTGTCTGAGCTGAGGCTGTCTCCATAGTTCACATTACGTGTTCTTTTTCAGAAAAAGAAAAGCAAAAATGGAAGTTACTATTCTATTGTATTTTAAATTATACTCTCCAAAAAGATTTATCTCCATCTTTCCTTTGAACCTCACATCACATAACTGGCCTAGAATTAAAGGCTAAGCACTTACGAAAAAACAGTACCTTTTGTTTTCACTTTGAGAGTAAAATATTAAAGTTCTATCACTGAACACTGAAATTCTGCAAAGGAGTTATATCTATACTCCCAAAAATGAGGAACTGTAGGGTTAAATAAGATACTGTACAAAGTGACAAATTTTCATATGAAATCTGAGCTTCTTATCAGAACTAAACAGCTGTTATGATAACAACTGTCATTCCTTCAGCACAATAGACAGGTAAGACCATCAGTTATCTGGCATCAACTTAATTTTTTCCAATGTATTCCCACAATGCACTGGTTTTAACCGATATAGAATATCATTGCCAAATGATAAACCAGTGTTAGCAGCTTCTTCAGGATGCTCTTAACATTTCCCCTTTTTGTCTACCATGTAAACGTTTGCCAAAATGTAAAATTTCTCTACCTTTGTATATTAAAAGTCACATCAACTTAACTCCCCCCCATCCAATCAAAGAAATCTTATACTCTCAGCCTTTTAAAAGCTTCAAGTAGTTTTCCACTGAAGGGTACACCAACGTGGGCTAAAATAAACCCTACAGCTGTCAAGAGAAGGCAAGAGTCATCTTTTATTTGGGGAGTGAGGCAGGGAATGACAGCAGAGAGTGGGATTTCATAATACTGCACACCTATCAAATTAACAAAAAGGCCTTTTTTGACCATTTCTATTTAAAGCATCAATGAATGGTGTCTCCATACAGCTGCTGCCTCTCAGGCCCGCTGCACAGATCCACGCATCAACCCCTCCTCCCAAAGAAAGGAAGACAGTATCCTTTTCCACTAAGTCTCAAAACATAGAATCATAGAACACTTTGGGTTGGAAGGGACCTTTTAGAGTCATCTAGCCCAACATAATATACTGATTTCTGGAGAAGCCCCTAGAGGTTTGAATTTCATAAATCTATGATTTTTGTGTTGGGTCAACTATCTCCATCAATTCAAATTATGCCCTGGTGTTCTAACTAAAGGAAAAAAAAAACCTGCATGCCAATGAAGCACACAAATTTCATTGCAATTAAACCAGTTTCTTTCACCTTCCCTGTCCCCCAAAACCTCGCTACATCCCGAAATAAAAATTAAGTAGCATCTGTTAAAGACATCAATTCCAAACATTTCCAAATAACATTCAATACTAAGTCAAATTTTAGTCAATACACTAGATATGAAACCAGGCCTTACAAATTGTAACTTATACAAATCTTATATACAACCAATGAAAAATACCTCGTTTGCTTACTTTTAAATATGCAGCTGCCTCCTGGACGGTAAGATTTCTTTGAATAGAGCTGCCACATTCATGTTCCCCTGGCAAAAAAAACTTTTATTTATTTTGATCTACTTATTACTGCATTATATAAAATAAGATCACCTAAACACAAGCTTAGGGTTAACACAATCTAAACAAGCAGCAGTAGCTCAATAATTACCACAAATTCCACTAAAAACATGGAAAATTCTCTGGACAAATATATCCTTCAAAAGAAGTTAAAAAACGTGAAGATTGTCACAGCTAATAATATCTACAAGTCACATCAATACAGCTTCATGTACTGCTCAGAAAGTATATGTCAGTATTTACACTGAAAGTAGAAAAAAGGCAATATGAAAGAACTATCAGAAGGATGTTACCATAAAACAGTTGCTGTACCCTGACTCAATCTCTTCCAGATAATTTCCATTTACTTTGAAATATGTATTATCTTTTATACAGACCAAGTTAGTTTCAGTTGCAACACATCCATAATAGTATTTCAAGCACTATGAAGTTACTATATTTTAGATTGGTCTAAGTTATCACAATAACTCATCACCTTCCTGAACATGCACAAAACCCCAATATGGCCTGAAACTGATGGGTTTACCATCCTCCTAATTGTTTTGGAAAGCATGCAGAAGTAGTCAGGAAATAAGGTATTATATGCACAGTCAGTCCTCACAGCCATGTACCATCATCTTCCTGATTTTCTTTGCTAAACTGAAGGTACTTGATTCATGAAAAAAAAAAAAGTAGCGATGGTCATACCAACACAAAGTCACACAGAAAAGGAAAACGTGTAACACCAGTTTTATCTATCACTAGGCCATCACTTCTGAAGAGCTGTCAGGGAGTGGCAAATCACTTTTTTTCCCAGATCTTTCTTTAAAAAAAAAATCTTAGCATCTATAACTATGACTTTACTGTACCAAAACAATAAAATAGTAAACAACAAATCCAGTCTTTCACTGGCTTAGGGTTACGCCTGCCTTACCTTCCTGAATCTATGCCAAGCTGTGTTATTCCCAAAGCCATAGCAAGGCTAGGAGAGTTTAAGGTACTCATACATATACAAAAAAAAGGTTTTTACCTTTGCTTATACTCTTACAAAGTATTTGAAGTTGACATTATTCCACACTGGAATACCCTTTAAACAGAGAAACTTCAAGTCTTAATTCCCTACACAAACGAGAACATTCGAGGCAATTTGAGCAAAAATTAGGAAACACTAGCAAGTTGTGGAAAAGCACCTTCATGTCTCATTCACCATAGGGAGTTCCAAAGCAGTAAGTGTTTCTGTGAAGCAAAAGTCCTTCTCAGACTGCTAAAGCAAAGTTTTTGTTCAACACACTTCAACAGTTTTAAGTGAATTTGGCCTTGCAAGCACATCAGCATAACAGGGATGCTCTTCTCTCACTGCTGGGTTATACAGAAGTAGGAACACTGTTTTTAAGAGTGCTCACATGCTATCTGGCCTAGAAGTGCTGCTGGAACTAAGCCTGTGTGCATGCGTGTATTTTCAATCAAGCACCGAGCAGAAAAGACACTACTGTAAAAGTTCTTTCACTTGATAACTAACATGCAATATCTTAGACTTTCAAAGTGCCTGAGACTACTGTAATAGCAAAAGTACAGAAATCACTGGTGAAAACCGACACCACCTTGGCCAAAACCCACTCTGAATTTAGAAGTCAGCACCAGAATTGGAGTTACGGGCTATTCTTCTATATAATTTAGGCAGACATTCTTTTTGTGCAGCATAAACTTTACAACCTGTAAATTTACATGTGTAATCAGTGATTTCATGCTTCAAAATTAGCAGACTTGAGATAACTATATATCATACTCATACAGTCTCTGGTGTAAACATGTTATTTTAAATCTAGAACTGATGGAATAAATACAACAACACGAAAATGTATCTCTCTAGAAGCCATATGTACAATCTCAATCAGGTATTAAGTTGTATGACATGAGCAAGTCCGATAGGTATTCAACCATTTAAGCTTTTTTTGTTGGTTGGTAAGACCTGAAGTCTTCCTGGGGTCTTTCTAATACGGAAAAAGCATGTCAGTCGTAATTTGACTGAACAAAACAGCTTGTGAGAACAGGGGGGTGAGACCCTTCTGCTTAGGAGCTTTTGTTTGGTTGGGTTTTGTTTTTTAATTATCTAGATAAGCAGGAAAGCCCATTTATGAAATAAGTAAGAAAGAAGAGAAAGGGTGAGGTTAATACACAGAAAAGAAAAACAAAACACAAGCAGGAGACCAGATTGTGAAAAATGAATTCTTAAAAACAAGTTTCAGGATTCATTTTGGATTTTTAATCTTACAAGAACACAGTATTACCTCTTACAAGAGGACAAAAGCTCCCTTAGATGGGGGACTACTGGATTACTTCAGTAGTTTTAAATTCTAGTCTTATTTGCCTTCTTCCAGGCATTAGGTTTGTGCAGTATGCAGCCAACACACTGACTTCACAGCTTCTGGTCTCATCTTCAAAGACCAGCAGCTAGCTTCCTCACAGTCCTGCTTCTGAGATTTTTTTCAGACTATATTCCCCCTCTGAACAAGTTTAACAGTTAAACACACCTTTGCCGCCTAGGCTCTGACAATGTCCAAGGCCCATCAGTTCAAATTACCCTCATGCAATGCTGGGAGGTGGAATAAAAATCACTTTCATCTTGCCTCCCACTCTTAAAACTAGTAAGCTAATCAGAGTTATGGAGTTTCAGTCCTGTACAAAAAGCTGTTGGAGATGCAGTTTCTCATTCCAACCCATCTATTGCTGAGAACCATTTAACAGTTTTCTTCTGAGAAACTCATGAATTTGAAAGCCTGCAGAAAGTTAGGCAATTCACAAGTCAGACAACCTTCTGTTTTACTGCAAACAGCAGGATATTCCTATATGCCATTTCAGTCACCGCTTTAGCTAATAGTTCTGCAAATGAAGGCTTACTTTGAATAACTTTGGTGCAATCATTAACCACTTGGCTTGGAAACCCACTTTCCATAGTCTGAGCCAAAAATGTTTCCCAACTGTTCCATTTGAGGCCCTATATCCAGGAATAAAACTGAAGCAGAGGCAAAAAAAAAAAAAAAAAAAAAACCACTTTACACAGGTCTGCTGCAAGATACATCTGAGCTCTTTGTAAAAACTGCCCCTCTGTTAAAATGTCTCAAGAGCTCACAGAAAGCATGGATCTTTGTGCTCAAACTTTTCTTGGGCACAGGCCACTTAAATTTCAAGTGCAATCAGAGAACCGTTCTACTTGCCTTTGTAGGGAGGTGAGAAGTAACACATCCCGGCAAGGATCACAAAACTACCTTTTAGCTTATGTTAGTGTACTTGGGCAAGCCACATCAGAAGTTGAGTTCTTCTCCTAGAAATACTGACAAAAAGCAACTAAAGCCTCAGTTCTAAAGAAGTTTAAGTCTGTTCTCACAATTGCTTTCAATACAGAAAATAAGTCAGATCTGCTTTTCCATGCAGGCTAGAATATTTGAAAGTGACTTTCATTTGGGCATTTAGCTTAATTTATGAGCTGCAGCATATAAAGTTAACAGAAATATTCAGAATTTTAAAATATTTGCTTTACAATGTAAATCATTCTCTTAAGAGTGCCAGAACCAAAACCCAGTGGAAATCTAATACTTTAAGGAACACATGGATTTAGCACAGCTCTCTAGGTTATAGCTTGATGTGATACAGTCAACCAATACAAAAAGCAAATAGTGTATAAAACATCTGTTTAGCAGGTCTCAGGCTTACAGGTTACTTGCAGCAGGACACTAAGTGTGTAGCTGAAGAAAAGCAGGAGCAGAATGAGTGTTGTGAGAGCAAGTAAGAATGCCTGATCTCCCAAAGGCTAATTCAACACTGCGGGAAACCAGAACTTGCTAAGTAGTCTTTAAATCACTGGCTGGAAACCACAGAGTATCAATTACCTGAAGAACTAAAGATTAAGGAAAGTGACAGAATAGAGAGCCTGTGACAGCAATCAGATACAGTAGCTGACACTTGAAATTAATAATAAGTAATAGCTAGTGTTTTGCCAGGATTTTCCTCCAGCCGTGGATTTATCAGTAAGCCTTATTACATATGGAAGTCCAATTCACCTCTGCATCTCAAGGACCTGTGCTGTCCATTAGCTCAGAAGGAAACAGTCTAAATCTAATAGATCATCACTCTACAGAGAATGCCAAGCAAAATAAATGGCTAACTAAAAAATTTTTTACGTACAAGAAGTTAGGGTCATACCCATGGGTAGCTTGCTGCTTCTTGTGGATATAGTGGTTAGCTTTATTCATTTTACAAACATGGATGACCAAACATGGATGTGATCTATTGAAGTCTCTCCACGAAAGCCCAAGACATCCAGTAATTAACATATGCCTGAAGGAAGTCTAATTTAAATAAAGCACGTATTTTCTCTTAGGAGAAAGTGTTAGGCGCTGAAATATATACTGTCTATAAAAAGTTGCTGCTTTGAAGAAAGGCTGAACCATTAGGCAAGAACACAGGAACACAAACAACTCAGAACTGGACAAGTAGATACTGCTTCTCCCTCTAGTTTCTTCTGAGGGAGGCATTACTCACCATAGGTTTGGCAGACTAGTAATTCTGAGAACAGTGATGCATTAAAGGCAATCTATTTTTATATAGGATAATGAAATCATTTTACATCATATCAGAGCACCACAGTACAGAACAGACATCTACAGCTGGAACATAGTATATTAAGCCAGATAAAATTAAACTGTTACCCTGACTTTTTCTTCCTTCAAACAACTTTCAGTGTTTTACCTTCTAAAATAAAAGCCCCGTCACTTGCTCTCAAATTGAAGCTGACAAGGCAAGAAACTAGCTCAGTAAAAATATAAGTCGTCTAATAAAACAAAGAGGGCTAGAAACCAAATTCTGAAGTGACCATCTTCATGGTAGTCAAGATGTTGAATAAAGCTTAACAGACCAGACTACTGCAAGTTTCCAGCCTGCCTTTTTAATATGAATAGTTATAACATGAACAAATGATTCATAGCCAAGTATGAAATGAGAGAAACTTTTCCAAGTATGTGACAGAGAGACCTGAAAAGCACCACTTCCAGCAAAACTATATTCCTTTACTTCTCTCTCTTTTGAAGTGGTGCACTGTGTACAAGATCAACACTTTTCAACCCTCCATCTCTCTAGCAGCTTTCTCTGTTCTATGACTTTCAAACAGCTTCCAGATATTGTGCCAGGTCTACATCAATATGGTATTCAAAAACGGATGGCAGACTTCTTCCTCTCATACCTTAAGAAACTTGGCCTTGAGGATAACTTCTGGCTAAGTACAGATGAATTAGGTCATTGTTCAGACTGTATGAAAGCTACTCTGCTGAGCAACCAGGTAATCTCACAATACAGCTTCAGTCTGGGGGACCATCTAACCAGAACTTACAGTCATATTTTTTGAAAGTAGGTACTGAAGATTCTCCTGGCCAGGAATAGACTAACAAAGATTAAGGCACCTTTGAGACCTGGGGAAGAAAGCAGTCATCTTGGAGCATACAAATTCCTTTCGTAAGGCAGACAGGTAAACATTTTTATAAGTGTATATGAACATAAGTAAGCCCCAGCTAATGAAGAAAACTCTCTTTCTTTCACAGGTGTAGAAATGAGGTGCCAAACCTTTTTATCCAGGCAAGTACATTGTTTACTGTATGGCCACTGGAGGGCCAGATGACACGCTGAGGGAACAGCAAGCTGTTATATTTTCTTTTCAAAAGAGGGAGACAAGTAGCATAACCCATTACTTCCACTTTACACAAGTCAGCGCTCTACTGCACACAGCTGTGGGTCTTGTAACACATTCCTACGCACCACAGGCTGGCTACCCCACATGAAAAAAAAAAAAAAAACCAACAACCCAGACTTTTGGCCCCAATGATTCATACCACAGAATTATTTACTACCATCTATTAATTATGAAATAGTTTGAAACAGATAAAAATGTATCAAGATGTAATTGACCTGTGAAGGATCAACACTGCACGGCATTCACAGTCAGAAAGCAATAAAATGAAGACTAAAGCAAATATTATTTTGCATGCAGTCAAGTTAAACATCATTCTTTCACTATTTTGGGTTAAAGAATAATGTAACCAAGAAGAAATTTGTGGGTTTTGTCCAAACATCTATTTTATTCACTGCAGATTTTGTAAATGCTCTGGAAACAAAAAGCTTCTGCAGGAAGATTACTCTTGCAACTTAAAGGTATTACAGAGCTGCTCAAATTTCTCACAGATCTCCTATATAGCCCTGACACATTAAACTGTCAGCCTCATACCTAACACAGAGTTGTTTCCGCATTTTTTTAATGTCTGAGAAATGTCTGTAGACCTGATAATAGTGGAAAAGCCTTCTTGGTGAAGCTTGCTGTTGCAAAACAAGTAGTTGGCACAAAGAATAGTAAGGCTTAAAAAACAAAAAAACCTGAACCACTGTTTCCTAAGCACATTATGGATTAAATAAACAAAGATGATAAATAAATAGCTTAATAGTCATGAAATAGATTCTGCTGTAACTCACACTCACCAGATGCCAAAGCTATAAACACAGTCCTAACTTTACCATTTCCTGATTGCTATGTGTAAATATCTATGCAGTTTAAAGCTGTGTTAATTATGACTCTAGGCAAAAGCACTGTATTTTTCACTTTGAATATTCAATAATTAATACTAATCCTAAACACCATCTCTAACACATTACTATATAGAGCACTTTTCATTACTGTATAATTAGTATGGTTAAGTTGGACTATTTTGTCTAACAAGGCAATCTTGTTCAGCCACTACTGTTCATTGTATTAGGAACCATTTTCTGATTGTTGCGAAATATTTTTTTTTCAGACATTTTTCTACCACAGTGAAATAACTACCTTTAAAAGAAATACATATTCCTCTCCACATATAGCATATTTAAACCTTTTAATGAAGTCAGATTAATAAAGCATTAAGACATTAAATCAAAAACCATACAGGATCACAATATTCAACAGCCTATCCGGTTAAAAAACATTGCAACAAAAGGTGCTACACTGGTGAAAAAGGCAGTGTAAGTGAACTAGAAATGAGATTTCTAGTTTCCCAAAATGGAACCCTAAATGGCTATCAGGGCCCCAGCATAAACCAGTTGTTGCAAATCAGTATCTGAGCACAGACTTCTTTGTAGCTGTTGCCATAACACTCTTAAGTCACAGTATCTTTAAAGTGTTACCTGCTACTTGTGCCAATTTATCATGAAGTGCATATAAGCTGTTCATCATGAGACTTATTTCATCTTCCTAGAATTAGAAAAACGTATTAGTGTTAAAACAAACATTAGTACAGATGTATTTTCTTCCATGTACCCCAAAAATCTTTATATACCATAAAAAAAAAATACCATGTTTCTTTAAACATACAGGTAGAAAGCTGTAGTGTTGCACACATCAACACACATCAACAATGATTCAAGCAATAGAATTTGAATCAAAGTATTCACAATATTGATTTTTTCAGATCTTGTCTGAAACTAAACTAGATTGCAGCCTGGACTCTGATGGATCTGCCAGTTAAAACTGACAGCTCAAAAGATTACTTTAATACTACTGAGAGAACAGTGCAATGACCCAAAAGAAGTTTGGTGTTGGGTTTGGGGTTTTTTTTTGATAGCTACTCTGTCAAAATAAAACTTTTATTCTTAATAAATGTGCTTAATAAACACTTCATACAAGCCACACTACAGTACCATCTGGTCATATTCCTGCATAAAATTCATAGCAAAGTAAGATTTTTGCCGTCTACCTTCAAACTACGGTAACTTAATAAAAAACCCCACCACCAAAAAAAAGAAAGCTGTGGACTATACAATCTTGTTGATAGTTCCTGCATATGCCACTAGTATAAAAAGGCCAAATTCCCAAAACAAACATGAATATGAGATGTCATATAATTGTTACTTACAGGGGAGTTAAACTTATCAAGATATTGAGGAATTTCATTGAAATGTATTCAGAAACATTTTATATTAGAAGGAATTACTCAAAATAAGAAGATGAGGAACATGCAGTTACATACACGGAGTACTAAAGGCCATTCTAAAACACTGGGGTTTTTTTGAAGTTGGCTCTGACTCCTGGGGCAGAGTAAAATAGCTGAGATAAGACTAGAGCCTTTATTCAGAAAATACGCAAGGAAAGTAATTTTCCAGTTTGTGCATCTGCTGATTATACTCACATTGAAAAAAAAAAAAAAAGTATGTTTTAATTCCCTGATTTGAATGCTCCAGGTTTTTTTCTGTAAGAAAACTGCTATCAAAAAGCAGTATACTTCTTTCATTGATCAAACATTTGACAAATTAATTCCCATAGATGATACCAACAATGACTAGCATCACCTCCCCCTATTCTGGTCCTACAAAACCATCACTGATATTTGATTGATATAGTTGGTACTCCCCAGGAAACTAACCAACCTTATTAACTCATTTCCTGGCTGGAAAATACTGGGCATGACAAAAGAGGAAAATCAGTCCTCTACCACACGCACACATCAACAGCAGTACTACAAGTTCCATTTATTTGCCAGTAGGTACACCCATGACTTCACTAATAGCTACACTAAGACAGACAGACAAGTGAAACATTTTTGTGACCAAATTTTTTTTTTTTTTGCAAATTAATGGTCAAACCACATAAAGGAAGGAACTAACAGTATAACCTCCGTAGCTAACGAACAATCGAGCACAGAGTAGGATTACTATGGAACAGTACACAAGAAACACAGAAGAAAGTAACATACAAAACAGGTTCTCAAGCTGTCAAGTCCAGTGCACAAGATGCATTCTCTCTGCACTACTAAGGTCATTCTGAAAGAATCCTCAGAATTTACCCCACAAAATTCAGTTTGTTCAAAAGATTCAAAAACATTTTCTACCCAAGAAATTAACCAAGGCTACCTACTTAAAATACACAATTATTCACTTTTGGAGAGCTCAATCCTAGACAAAAAAAAAAAAAAAAACAAACCCCAAACACACCACCACCAAAAAAACCCACACAATGATCTTGCAATACTTGCTTATCTTGCAATACTTGCTTATATATGCCCAGCAAAAGCAGATCACTATGTTTACAGTCCAGGCAGAAAAGACTGAAGGCCAGAAGAGAGAACCACCAAAACTCATGCTGCAGAACTAAGAATAATACAGATACCTTCAATAGTGACATCTCAAAAATTGTTATCCCGATACTCCAGTTGAAAGAGTGAATATAGGAACAAGTAACAGAACAGAATCAAAAATGAAAAAGACAAACTTTTTAATCAATTTTCTGAAGGAGGGTAACCCTTGCTCTTCTGTGGCACTAAATAAGATCCTGGAGTTTCAACTCAATCATCTCTTACCAGCTGCCCTTTCAAGGCTGAGAAGCCAAATGGTAACAGTAAGAGACAAACTGATAAATTCAGTCTCAAAACTTACAACACCACATTTTTTCCCCTCATAGCTCTATAACACAAAATATGTAATATTTTCTTAGTATATAAAGCAAACAGCATGCCATAGCCAAATCTTGTAATTCTAGTTATATTGCCTGAGATAAAAAACAGAAAAATTAAAACATTAGAGTTGCAAGAAATACATTCATCTCATGCAAAACATTCTGAAACTGCATCCTTCTGAAAAGGTCTATATTATTTTTATACAATCATCTGACAGACTAAAATCTCAATATTAAATGGTTTTACTTACTTTTATTTTTAGTTCTTCACTGATGGGATTCTTGACTGTCAAGAGAAGAGAAAAAATTAATTCATTCTAGAGTCTGAAAATACTAAAAAGGTATACCAACATTGTAGCATTGTAACAACACTGTATCCTTTAAATAAAAAGAAACAAGTCCATAATATGACAAATAACAATTAGACAGCTATTAACCTTTTACTTAACTCTACATTTGATAATGTGTATACTAGCATTTAGGTTAAACCAGAATCTTGTATATCTACAAATTTCACAGCTGTTTCCATGCAAACAAAACCATGCTTAGCATTTGCCAAACTCTTGCTTTAATGACTCAGTTGCATTGAAATCATAATTTGAAGGTTTTACATTTTTTAGCATCTAGTTAAAAAAAGTAAAACTACTTTTTTACTAAGCAATAATCCAGACAACAAAGAGCTGTACAACTCATCAGCATCTTCTGTTCTGACAAAAGAGATGACACACCAAGAGCTCAGGTGAAGAGTGCAGTGTGACTAAATGACCATTCCTTCCTTTCTAAGTAAAACAGTTTCCACAGCTCCTGAGAGCATAAGTTTATTTATTATATTCCTCTTGGCTACAAAACTATATTCTTCGAGAAAGAGAAGTTGAAATCAGACAAGTAATTTGTGCTATGCTGGTAACTGCAAAGTTACCAAGGCAGGAAGCACTCACGATTAAAGCATACTGTCTTGCCTTGTTGAGCCACAAACTCTTGTTTCACACACAGTTTGAGTGTATACAAAGATTAGCAGTTCTAAATGCTATTCAAACAAAATGAAGCTTCTACTGACCATAGTTCAACAAGCACAAAAACAAAAGAAAAAAAGAGTATCTGGGAAAGCTGACACAAAATTGAAGGTCTAGGTTTTAAATGTCATCATACTGATGTTGAAAGCACACCAAGAACAGGTAGCACTTGAAGAGGCACACTGCTCCATATACAGTTCTACAAATAGAAGAAAGAAAAGAAGAAAAACAGTACTTTCCACTACTTCTTGGTCTGATGCATTTGCATAGAGAATCTGGAAGAAATCTCAGTCTGGGAAGAATTTTGTGCATTTTGAAATCCTGCAGTTCAACTTGCTATACCAAGGCACAGTAAAAGACAAGTACCATCTTAAATAGTGTCCAAAATACATAATTCCATTACACCCCCACCACCACCCCAGATATTGCAGCTGTTTACACAGCATTTCTGCTTGCATCTGAAGGTAACTCAGCAACAGCCTCTGAGAGTGCTAACCAATCTGACTTCTTACAAGGCACTCCCATGCGTAAAGATATTCACAAAACATCAAGAGCTGCCTCCCCAACAGTCAGCTGATTGACAATATCTTGACTCCTGAACCATAAGCGTGACTATTAAACTGCACAGAGAGCACACAAAAGAAACTAAGGACCAACTTAGAAAACAAGGGGTCCCCTAACCTTTGCCAAGTGTAGTCACATCTGGATAACAAAAAAAAAATTTTTTTATAAAAAATGAATTATTTGTAAAACAATGTAAATTTTTATTACCTGCACAAACTTCCATAGCACTGTCGGCAGCAGCCAGATGCTGACCCACTTCACCTCATTTTTGAAAGGCAAGTTTGAAGTGGGAATGACTACCATTTCATTGCTCCTACACATAGCAACGGTAAGGAACACATTTCTACAGTTCCAGCCAACAAATGATGTAGAAAACAGTGGGGCAATGAACATGCTTTCTCAGTGAAAAAGAAAGCTTGACTCTCTGAGACTTTGCAAACAATGGTTTGTCCATGTGCCTGAGCTCAGAAGAAAATTAAGCACGCTACATACCCAACAGCAATAAGCACTTCAGCTTCCTCTGACACAGCAAATGGAAAAAAAAATAAAATGCAAAACCACCCAAACACAGGGACTGCTTTTCACAGACATCTGAATACTTGTTTCACATATCATATTAATTAAAACTGATAGAAGCAGAAGATATTCAAGCACTCTTGTAAACCAAGCCCTGTAACACTTCATGATCTCATTCTATAGGTGTAAGTTCTCAGACATTGCCTACTAGATTATCAAGCTACCAACTTTACAAAACTTCCATGTATTTCATTCATTAACTCAGCAGAACATTCCCAGTACACTAAACTTTCAATCTAAATCACCTAAAAGAGGATTAGAGAAACACAGCCAAGGCTCTAGATGACTGCCAATCTCCCAGTTTGATCATTAGTTATCCAGACAGGATAATTATTTAATTATGGTCTCTTCCCAAGGTCAATCTTATTGAGCACACATGAAATCTTGATTATATGGTTTTAGACTGGAGGGGGCGGGGAAGGCAGGGGACATGAGACACAACAGTGTGTAGATTTCAGCATACCTGACAAATATGCATTTTAGCACTGATGAAAGCCACAGAACAAACACAAAGGCAGTACTTCTATGCCTGCAAAGATGCAAACTGAAAACTGTCAGCTGCAATTCTACATATGTTAGGACAGTACAGCAATTAAGTGAAGGCAATGGTGTTATTATACTCAGACTTTCCCAGCATCACAATCCCAGTGTACAGTCAATCTCATGTAAGCAACTTCATATTTGGATAAATTAAAACATTGAATTTATGAAGCAATCCAGATGAGGTGCCGATGTTTGCCTCTCCTTCACAAATATGCAGTTAAAAAAAAAAAAAAGGACTCTCCTTCAAAATTATCTATCACAAAAAATTTAACAACCCTTGTAATTCATTATTTTAACTCACACTATAAGATTTCCATGAAATCCCTCTGCAGTTAGTGATTTTATGGCAAGTTAACCAATAAGTGAGATAGCATCTTATATAAGAAGATGCTAACATAATTTAGGGTGCCTGATTGCCTTAAGAGGCAAGTATGCTAAATGCAACTGCAGCAATTTATCAGCTGCATATGCAATAACAACTGTTAATCAAGCTGCATCTATTTACCGCATAACCTCGAATAACTTGAGTTAGTAAGGCCACTCCTTAACTACTTCAGTAATTCCTCTGTTCTGAATCCACCCTTCTTTTGTCCAGGATCTAAGCTCTTAACAAATCCTCCCACTTGTTCCAGCCACAGCTGTAAAGTTTTCATCTACTCCAACACACCTAAGGTATTTCAATACATTACATCAACATTATTGGTTTGAAAGGCTTCTTGACAGTTCTTGAAATATATAAATATAGTTTTAAGAGTAACAAGTTCTTGTTCTACCAAGCTGAGCATTAATTTAATAACTAACGGAAGAGTTTATGTGAACATGTCATACTTCCAAGTACTCCTTCTCAAAAAGGGTTCAGGACCTCTACCAATACAGCAACAATTACCAGCCTTGAAAGCAGTCTATCAAGCTCATGTTTTATGAGCTTCAAAGAACAAATTCTCATCTACTTGTACTACAAAGCTAAAAAATAGAGATAATTTTCTAAAACAGGAATCTTCTGACTGTTGTCCTGGGGTCTTCTCTCCAGGTTAACCAACCAACAACCACATCCACTGCCCTCAAAAAAGGAGGGATGCAACAAACTACCTGGACATGGCAATCTCATTATCCATTAGAACTCCCCAGACAGCAGCAAAACTGTGAGAAGCATGGCAGTTTTACCTGGCCACACATGAATACTAGCTGCAGGACAATAAGGCAAGAGTATTTTCATGGAAGAAAAACCTCAAAAACTTGACAAAGGGAACCGTGCCAACTCCCCCAAAACACTGTAATAGCTAAACATTCTGCTTGAAAGTTTGATACATTAGAAGAGCAGCTTTATTCCTGGCAAGGTGTAATGATAATAGGATTCCTTGGCCAGACATGGAAGGAAACAAAAAGTAAGCACACTAAGGGACATCATCTCACACGAAACTTATTTCAGAACAGGAAGGGATATGCTATTTAAATTCCATTTTGAAGAAGTGATCTTACTTAAATACTAGTTAATCAAGAACAAGACAAAATAAGATGATTGAAAAGCCTGCAAAAGAAATCAAAGCAGCATACAAATATTGTTCTGGCTAACTGAAAAGACTACTAATGACCCTTAGAAGTAACTAATTTACACATATCACTGTTGGGACAAACTGTAAATGATGACTTACAGACTGCCAGAATTCCTCAGAACGGCAGAACCAGCCAGTCTCAAATAACAAAAAGTCACCAATACAAAGCTAAGGGTCACAGCACAGCTCCAAAGCATTCCAGCCAAAGCTGTCAACACAAATGCACATACCAAGCCATCTCACAGGGATGCTCAATTTAGGAAGTGCAGTCAGTGTCAACATACAAGGTTAATTTTTGCTAGAATAGAGAAGCTTTCATGTTTAAAGTAACAATAAAACCACTCACCACCACCACCCATTTTCCTCCCTAATACATTGGTAACAATTGCAGACAGACACAGTATTTACAAGGGTTTAGTTTTCTTCAGTAAGACAAACAGGGAGCACAAAGTGGGATTTCTCCTCTTTTTCAAAGCATGGTTTAACAGACATGAAGTTGCAGCCTAATTGCAGACATTCATGAACACACAAGTCAGCTTTTATAGAGTCTTAATGGTACCAGTTCCAAAGACTGACATAGCTTCATAGGCCGTCATACCTAGAAAAAAAAAGAAAAAAAGACATGCACAAATAAAAATACCTTTGCTTAGGACATAAGCTAGAACCATATCACTAACATGGTACCAAAATAAGGGATTCAGTCACCCCCTGGTCAGCAAATCAGAATGCCAAAAAGTAGCTAATCCTTCCACTACAGCTACCTCCTAGATGCTGTGGTACCTTGCCCTGAACAGTGTAACCATTCTTGCAGTTTCAGTATTCAATACACTTCAACAGATAACATCAAAACTGAAGCATGAAGGAACAGTCGGGACAAACCAAGGATTCAATATGCCAGAATCCTGCATCCAGCAGTAGCAAGTTTTACTCTTTTCAGAGACACCTGTCCCTAACTGGAAGGGAGAAATCAACAGAACAGTGGCAAAAATGAGTGTCAGAGCATAAGAATATAAAGTATATGCTGATAATTCAACAGA